TGGCTTAGTGGATAGAGTGCTGGACCTGAGTTCAAATCCATCTTCAGATGTGTTCTTGTGTGACCTTAGCCAAAGAGGTATTTATTAAGTGCCTACTGTGTGCACCATTCTAAGTGCTTTACAAATATCTCATCTGATCCTCACAACCTTGAGAGGTAGGTGCTATTATTATCCCCATTTTATGGTTGAGGAAGCTGAAACAGGAAGAGGTTAAATGAAACAGCCCAGGTTACACAGTTTCTGAGGCCAAATTTGAACCCAGACATTTCTGATTCTGGTCCCAGTCCTCTATGCATGGCAATATCTAGATGGAAGTCACTTAATCTCTATCTGCCTAGATTCCATCATTTGTAAAATGGGGATAATAATAGCTCCTGAGGCCCAGGGTTGTTGCAAGGATAACTGAGATAATATTTATAAGCATTTTGCAAACCTTAAGGCTCCATGTAAATGCTAGCTATTGTTTTATAGCTATTAATTTGTTTTGCCTGACTATGAATATTTGCTAGAGGGAATTTGTTTCTTTTTTTTTTTTTTCTTTCTGGAGGCTAGGGTAGGAGGGAGAGAAAATAGACTTCTGCTCATTTTTTAAACATTAAAAAACAGAGAAATGGAGGGATGGGTGCTATATATATTGAATGCTACATGCACTTTCAGATGAAGACACTACATTATTAGTTTTACTTAATTGTTTTGCTTTGTTCTAAAAGACCCTTCAGAGAGTGGGGTTAATCTATAGATGTGTGTAATGTCAAAACAAAACATATCAATGCAACTTTAAAAAAATTACAAGGAATATAATTCATATTTCTCAGATCTCTTTTTTGCTGTTTCACGATTTGCCATTTCCTACTGCTGCACAGTTTGCCCATGTGGTAGTGCTAGGGTTTCATGTACACAGTACAAGAGGTATAAATCTTAAATGTTTACTGACTTGACTATCCTTTTTGTTTCACATTTCATTTAAACTACAAATAAAAATAAATCCAATAGGAAAGCACCCTATAATTCATTTTGTAAATCATGGTGAATGGTCTATAATTACTGTGATAAATAAAAGTCAGTACAATTTGCAATATCATGTCCAGTGGAAACACACTGGAGTAGCCTAATATGTTTTATCAAAAGTTCTACTTAGCAGAGACTCATGGTTTCTTTCTTCTTTGGCTTATCATAAAATGGATGTATAAAATGAATTTATTCAAGTATGAACGTGTCAAATATATTTGTTCATGAAAACAATGTGCTATCAAATATGCATAAGCATACACTTTTAAAATAAGGTACAGGGATTCATTCAAATGTTTAGAAGCTTTTACTAAAAGCTCAGAATGCTTGAAATTTTCATAATTTTTTATATATCTCTTAGTGATTCTGTCTCTCTCTGTTACAGTCATGTTTTGTTATGTAAAATTATGCATTAAAGTTACATTACAAATATAGACACAATAAAAACCTATGATTCCATCGAAAGGTGATAACAGTATAACTTTACATCTAAGAGCATACATATTTGAAGTTTGCTTCATGTTCCATGAAAATATTTTAGTAACTAAAAATGACAAGACAATAAAACTTATAGCAAAACATGAGTTCCACAATATTAACAAGATCAATTGACACAAAAAATGTCTATATATTTCTATATAAGCTACTCAACTTTAGACTCTGCTTTTATGCAACACAGTTTTCAACAGAAACAATATCATTATCCAGCTAAATAGAATTTCAATCATAGATTTTGGGGGCTCTAAGAAAAATCATTGAGTTGAATTCATTTCATCGAAGTTTTAACTGGGAGCCCATTTTTTTTCCTAAATGGAGAGTTGTTGGGCCTGGTACCCTGGACTCTTTAGTAAAGTCAAAGCTGTTGATTTTGTAATTCCTTTTACTACACATATAGACAAACACATGTGTGAGTTACTGGAACAATTGATTAACATTGTGTAGATATTTATGTAGGATCACCTACCTGAAGAGACACAACACGTTATAGCTATATTAAGATGCTAATAAGATGCTTAGATATCATGATAATTGAGTTAAAAGTGTACAAAATAAGGTAAACTAATCAAGAGATATGATGTATTCAGACTGAATGAACTAATTGAAAAAGCATCTATCAATCAATCAGCATATGTTTATTTAGTCCTTCCTACATGCCAGGCATTATTATAGACTGGAGAGACAAAGACGCAAATGAAACTGTCTCTGATCTCAAAGAACTCATGTTCTATCTGGATAAATAAGGTATCCATATCTAAGCATTTGAACGTTGTAAACTAAGTTCTGTGAGCATAGATATGTATATTTGTATGTAAATGGATTGGTAGACCTAGGTATGTTCATATTAGAATATACATGTATTTGAATGTAAGGGAGCATGGGTGTCTGAGCAGCTTTGTTTTTCAGTATAAGTATACATGAGTACATAGCTAATCAGATTTTTTTAAGTTATGTATATATAATAGAAAACATTCTTTGATGATAGCTCTCTATGTACTCTCAAATACTCAATACTTCTCCTACCTGCCAGAATACTTAAAGCAATAATAATGACCTAGAACTTTAAAGTTTTCAAAGTAGTGTGCATATAGATATGTCTATGTGTGTGTGTATGTATATATAATAAATATTATATATATAACACATCTTATACACACATATGTATTCTCATTTGAGCCTTAAAACAACCCCATGAGGAAGGTCATGATACTATTTTCTTTGTAAAGATATAGACACTGAGTCTTAGAAATATAAAATGATTTTTCCAGGTAGGTTTAGAATCCTGCCTTCGTATTAACAAGGCCAGCGGCACTGGATCTAAAAGGTCATGTTGATCACAGCCTGCTATAAAAGATTATAACATCAAATAGCTTTGAACTCATTCATTTTAGCTATTAGTCATATCTTTTGCATCCTATAATATACAGAATCATGTAGAAAAGTCAATACAGACCCTTTTTAGGTATAATAATTTATTATCAAAAATTAGAAAAGTTTAGGGAAAAGGATAGAAAAAATGTAAGATGATACAAAAAAGTGGTTATTTTAGTGAAATAAGCATTGGAGTAGGAGCCAGGAGACTTTAATTCTGGTTTTGGTTCTGTCCCCAGTCAACCTTGGTTAAGTCTTGTTTCTGGGCCTCTATTTCTGCATTTGTAAGATGAAGAGGCTGGAACAGATGATTTAATATCATATCCCAACTATAAAATCAGTAGGATTGCAGTGGAGTTCCCAGGAAAATAAAAACATGAGAAAGGTTGTTGGGGGATGTGTAATGTTCTCAAACTGGGAAGTTTCTTTTGTGGAAACAATTACCCACTCCTGAATGCATTATCAGAGTAATAGCTAAAACGGTAATAAAGCACCAATGTGGATCTGTTAATAAATATTGACCATATTTACCAGTTATTTCTCAATAATTAAAAATAGTAATTATATTTCTCTGTTCTTAGATTCATCCTATAATGGAGATCAGAGAATCTTTGAAATGCCATGAATATTTCTGAACCACCACCTGAGGGGGGAAAAAAAGGTTGGTGATATCTTCCCTGCTGCCTCTTTCATTGGATTTAGAGGTGAAAGTCTCAATTTACAGATAAGGAAAATTGATACCCAGGTAGATGAAGGTATTTCCTAGTCATAGAGGTAGTGAATAACAGAACACATTTTCAAGCTCCAATGGGGGAAGATGATAGATATATTAATGGAGAAAGCATTGAGCAGAGAGTCAATGAACCAGTGTGTTTGACTGGGGCATGTTCTAGACTTAGAATCAGAGTACTCATGTGAATTCAAATCCTACTTCTGCTATTGATTTCTGTGACTTGGGCAAGTCACTCTCTGGCCTTAATTTCTTCATTTGTATGAGACAGTTGATATTGATAAACTTTGTTTCCTTTTAAATTCTGTGACATATGATTTGGGTTCAAATCCTGGAACAGATAATTGTGATTTTTTTCTGGGTCTCAGTTTCCTTATTTGCAAACTAAATGGGTTGTGTACTACATCACACCAGGATTGTGTGAACTTAAAAAAAATACTTTGATTACTTTATTTGAATATAATTGGGTTCCTTTATAACTCTGTATTTTATTTTATACATTTAAAAACATTATTTTGAGAAGGGGTCCATAAGCTTCACCAGACTGGCAAAGGACACAAAGTTAAGAATACAGTGACTAGTTGATCTCTAAGGTAACCTAGCTCTCAGTTCTACAATTCAAGATTCATTTTTAATTCTACAGCATCATGTTGCTTCCCTTTTCTCTTCTTAATGACCTCCTTCCATTTCAGCACTCATTATGCTACCCTGTACTGCTCATTGTATCCTAGGAAAAATGAAATTCCTATATTAGAAACTCATGTCTCAGTAAATGAAAATCTAAGCAATCTTTCTAGGGTAAATTTGGGTAGATAACTTCTGGACATTTGAGTAGATGACTCATCTATAATTTCATGTAGCAGTTCCTCTGATGCCTTCGGGGGTACCAAGTCCCTACCAGCCTTTCCTGGTTTTCTTCTTGATGGGAGACCAACCACAAGTGCCTATTATCTACAGTACTGGATGGGAACCGCTGAATACAAGGAAGTTGCCTGCCTGTGTCTTACCTGAGGTATGTATGTGAGGAGGAGGAGGAGGAGGAGGGAGAATGGGTGAGTCCCCAAGGTGTGTATACAGGTTTCAAAGCCGGAATGTCTGTGGAATGGGAGGAGGGTGGGTAACTTTTGCCAGTCCCTCCTTCACTTTTTTCCTTGCCCCTTTGCTTTCAGCTAGTAAGACCTGCCCAGGGACGGACAGCCCGGCCTCAACTGTCACTCACATTTCTTCCAGCCAATGGCACAGTCGCCTGTCACCCTCACCCCACCCCCTCCAGGGAGTGAGGGGAGGGGTGTGCGTTGGGGAGGGGAGGTCTGAGGGGAGTGGGGAGGGGGGAGGGCGGGGGGTGAACAGAGTTGAATGATTGAACTTTCTTTTTTAGTTTCTGCAGCAGTGAGGTTCCCCTAGTAGCCCAGCACCAGACCGGTGCATAGGAGCTTATCCAGGCGTCTCTTGCTCCTTATACTCCCCTTGTTCCCCCTCCCCCCACACACAAAGCGATGGTGTTAAAGGATCCAGGCGTGTTTCTGACCCTTTTCCTATGGATTACGGCTTCCTGGGGCTGCCTGGCTACAGCTGCGGGGCTTGGTGCTGCCGCCCGCAAGCAGGACGAGACTCTTTCTGCTGTCAGTATTTACAGAGCCAGATGCACCTCCAGGTGCCTTAGCCTGCAGATCACTCGAATCTCAGCCTTCTTCAAGCATTTCCAGGTATGGTTTAAAAAAAAACAAACCTCCTCATTGCTTGAAAATACTAGCCTTCTCCATCTCTACCTCTAGCTCCCCCGGCAGACACTTTGCCCCATTGCTGTCTATCCTCTGGTCTGTCACTTGCACTACTCTGAATTTCCCAGCTTTGAAGGACTGGGGCGCGGGGGTGCGCTGTGAAACCGTGCATATTAGGTGGGAGTTGGAGTTTACCAAAGCCTCTTACAAAACTTCTCGGCAAAGATCGACAGCCTGCCGGAGTCCTGCCTTTTCCAGGGTTATCGTTCCAAAAGTGCAGATGGCACACTTTTGTTCTTCTCACCTCACCTTCGCTTTGGCCCTCTTCTCACCCTTAAGGGGGCTCAAAGTGGCGTCTTTGGGTTGGTTTATTTGCTTGTGAAATTAAAGCTAGCCCACTCCCCGTCCCCTACCCCAACCTCAACCCCTCTGAGAGATTGATTGGAGACGTGTATGTAGAACTGCCTACTGGTATTTCTGTATTGTTCCTTGAAATAGTTTCGCCAAACTATTAGCCCAGTTGCCCAGACTCCCAGGGCTTAGTTACATGTGTGGTTATTAGAATTGTTAGGAGGTGAGTCAGGGAGACAGAACAGGCTGTGGCGGAGGTACCTGGGCTTCTTCCTTGCAAGAAAAGGCACGAGAACCGTCATCCTTGCTTCCCTGCAGGTGCCAGGCTGGGACCAGTCCTCGCCTTTTTCTTCCCCCCTCCAGAATCCCTTTGACATTCTGCGCGGGGCAAAATACAGACTACCGGGAGGAAGATCCCGGCGCCCATCAAATGCGTGGGGCAGGGTTGTTTTTTACCAATTAGCATGCATGAGTGTGTGTGTCTGTCCAGTTTCGGAGCCTTAAAGCTTTAGTCTCAAACTAATAAATGAGATGAGGCACGGGGGAGGGAAGAAAGGGTAGTGGGGGGATGGGGTGGGAGGTTGTTGGGGTTGGGTTCTGCTGCCTCTATACAAACTCTGGATGAATCTCTGGGGAAGTAGCGTGATGTAGTAGAAAGGACATTGGGTTCAGAAGACGTGGGCTCAACCGTGTCTCTGCTACTTTTTACCTGTGTGACCTTGGGCAAGTCTTTTAAACTCTCTGAGCTCCAGTTTCCTTATTTGTCGAATGAAGGGGTTGGATTAGATGACCTTTCAATTCTAAGGCTATAATTGTATAATTCAGAGTCAATGGTGCTAGGCACTGTACTAGGCACTGGGGATATAAACACAATGAATGAATCAATCCCCATTAGAGAGAAGAATCTCTAAAGTCCTTTCCAACCAGAGCCTGTGAGTTATCAGCCAGTGTCTATTTGCATCTAAGATTGCCGTAGCACACTCTCTGTCTCTCCCCTCGTCTCTGCGGTTCGGTCCCTTCTCTGTCTCTGTCCCTGTCTCTCTGTCTCTCTCTGTCTCTGTCTCTCTGTTTCTGTCTCTGTTTCTCTCTGTCTGTGTGTGTGTGTGTGCGCGCGCACGCGCGCGCGTTCCTCTCTGCCTTTCCGTCGATTACTCTTCGTCTCTGTTTCTGTCCCTTCCTCTCTCCTTTTTCTTCTCTTTTCTCTTCCGTCCTTTAGTATGCACCCGAGGAAAGGGTTGTTTTAACATTGTTTAGCGGATGTTTAGCATTGAGTACTCCCTTTTAAGGTGAAAGATCTGTAAGAAGATCATAGGAAAAACAGAAAGCCTGAGGAACCTGTTGGGAGTGGGAGGGCGAGGACTAGAAGCATGTATGAGAGATAGATGTGCATTACCAGGGGCGTCAGACCGAGGAACACTTTGGCCAGCTGGTTCCAGAAGCAGTTCCCAGAGTCCCAACTGAAATGTTGCTTTTAGGAAATCATTTATCCAAGCTCATTATTTCGCTGTCCTCCTCCTTTCATCTCCATCTCCCCCTCCCCCTCCTTGTCTCACTTGCCCATTTCACTTGAGATGCCCACCTGCTCTGTCTGCAGAATTCCCCACTTGAGATAATGCTACTACTCCATCCAGAAGTGGAGATTGAGAGCCCTTTGCCCTGAGTGAATGAATGAATGAATGAATGAACGAAAGAACCAACAAATTAATAGATCGCTTCCCCCTCCGCCCCCCGACAAATACAAGAGTGTAAAGTGGGGTCCCAGAGAGTATCGTCGACCTTTGAAATTCCAAAGGATTTTGGGGGGTTTGCGCTGGAAATATGGACAGGGTCAGAGGTTTTCCTTAGGACTCATTTAAAATGACCCATTAAATTAATCTGAGAGACTTAAGCCTAGGAGAGCTAGGCAAAGATAAAAACGAACTTTTGAACCGTGTGTGTGTGTGTGTGTGTGTGTGTGTGTGTGTGGTGTGTGCGTGTGACAGAGAGAGAGAGAGAGAGAGAGAGAGATTTAAAAAAGGAAGCTTTATCATGTTACAGGTTTCTTGGTAGTTGACATGGTACTAGGATCTTTCTGAGTATATGTTCAAAGGAAGAATAAGAAAACAAGCCAAAAAATTAAAACCAAAACTGTTTTAACCTCCATCTGTCTCAAAGTGAAACTACACAGAAGTCCTCCTGAGCGCTGAACCCCGAGCTACCTATTAGCAAAATAGAGAACATTGCCCTAGAAATGAATGCCTTTCTTGAGAAGATATGTTACCTTTGTGGTTTAAACAACAGCCACCTCCTAAGCAAAACAAAAACACAAAAAAAACCCCCAAAATAAAAGTCTATTCCCCCAGGGGATTAGTATCTTTTCCTTTTTTTTATTGAATTGTCAGTTGTTGTAATTTATTTGTTTTACAGTTTCAGTGCCTAAAGAGCCAGTTTAGATAAAGCCAATTCCTAGTGAAAGGCTTTTTTTGTGGTTTCTTGGCATGATTTCTCTTCTGAAGTAAAACTGCTGACAGAATGCACATTGCCAAACAATAGTGATTACATTTTAATTAGCTGGGGTGAAATAAGCTGCAAATTACTCAGTTAGGACTTAATAACTGCTGTTTTTGTAATCAATTGCAAAGCCATTCTTGGAGTTTTAACCCTAACCTGGTAATGCCTATGTGATTTATCTAAATTACAGGGATTAAGCTCTTTTAAGATTGGAAAGGATGGTAGCATGATCTCCTTATAAAAAAGCTAAACCTGGCATTGTCTTTTATTGAAAGAGAGGTGGGGGGGGTGTCAAGGTATAACATAAGCACTACCCAATATGTGTTATTTATAGCTAGACTTCCTTTGCTTCAGGCTTTTACAACCTGTTTCATCAGGAAAGGGGCCTTTTACCTGCGGACTTAGTAGAACCCATTTTGCCATTTTTCAGACATAAGCGGTTGGGAATTTTGAAGGTAAACACTTATTTTGTATGCAGATGCACCCAGTTTCCAAGGGAGCAAACTACCTCCTGTAAGAGACTTGTGTAAATGAAGAACATCCAACAGATTTTGCATATCACATCTCTGGTACAAGATGGGTACAAAGAGATTTTATACTAGATAAAAAAGGGGTCATACTCTTCAATCTAGTGTTTAGGATGATATGATTTTTAAAACTCCAAATTTTCACATATAAAAGCATATAGATCTTCACCCATTCAAAATATAATTACTGTACCTCTTTTGGCTTTTAGTTGTGCAGCAAGCATCTTTCATATTATCAACATTCTATTCTATTCTACATTTGCATTGCTGTGTGCTAGTATTTTAACATATTCTCTCCATCCTTTCTGAAAGGCAGTATCAGTAGAATAAAGCTATTGAGGCATATTACTGTCTTCAAGGTTACATCTAATGTTCTTGCTTTTTCTGTATTGTTAGTGGGCCCTGGTCTGAAAATGAAATGATCTGGGGATAAGATCTCACCACTTACTTGTCTCAACTTAAACTTTACTTTGCAAAGTAAAAAGTAAAAAATCCTCCCTTGAGCTAGAGTGTGCACTCAGGATCATCTCTATTTTATATGTGCAGAAGGTGAGGCTCAAATTAATGAAATGATTTGCTCAAGATCACACGGTAAGTAAATGATAGAACCAGAATGAGAGCTCAGCTCTCTAATGCTATGCTAGGAACTTGCCTAATGAAAGCTGAAAAGTTGAACTCATTCTGTGGTGCGGGGAGAGGGTTTTTCTTCTAACCATCAGTACCCCATCTATGCTCCCAAAGAAAGTCCTGGGAGAAGTGGATTTGAAAAAAAATTAGCTTGCTGATCAGAGACTAGGAATGAAGAGGGTGCCTGTTTCCCTGCCAGGACTAAGGAAAGCTTAGGGAGAAAGTGAATGGAATAATGTTGGCATATGGAGAAATAGTAGAGTCTGCAATCCTGGCCCCAGGGTTCTAATATTTGATTAGTGTTAAGAGATACTTGTCTAATGGTACATGATTCACTCTATAATGCTGATGAGTTTGCTTAGGTAGCTTATTAGAGATCAGAGGATTTTCTTTTGCAATAATTGGAAGTTGTTTATTTTGGCAAAAGAAGCTGCAATGGTGATTAGTTATTTCCACTTAAAGGGCCTGTGTCTTCTTTGACAAAAAGTAAACAAACAATTAGCTCATCGAGAACCTTCACAGCCACAAATTAGCTCCAGGCTCACAAAACTTCAAACTGGTGATTTTGTGGTGTGCACATACTCAGGAATGATGGTTAGAGTCAAATGTGGAACAAATTTTCGATTAGGTGCTCAGACTGACAAACATTCAGGGAGTCAAAGTGGAGGAAGAGGACCAAAATCTACCTTAGTATTTTCTGGCTTTCATTTGGAGCTCTTTGGCTCACCTTTCAAAACACTCTGAATTTGACCTAAATTAAATTCTACACTATGCAATATAAGCCTTCCCTTTAAAGCTACATAAAACACATCACTGGGTGATTCCATGTTCAAGAAATTTAAACGTTTTTGTAATGGCCCATATCACAACTCTGAATATAGGACAGGATGTTCAATAACTGTATTTGTTAACTATGTCAGTGTGTCAGTTCATTAAAATGTAACTTAAGAAAAATTCTTTCTCTGAAGGACTTAGCTAAAGACCGAGAGT